TGATTTAAATATGAAATGTATAATTTATATTGCATAATTCTACGTTGAAAAATAAAAGGACAAATACTGTTAAGATCAATACGTATAATGTATATATGTGTCTGGTAATAATTTAATCACGTCTCATCTGCAGGTAGAGTAGTTTTGGACAGAACAGATAAAATTTCCGTACGATTAAACACTGGAATTAATAATCAAACAATACTCAATTAATAATAAAAATTTAATTATGTATTGCATTTAGCAATTGCGTAACATTTCTTGGAATATCTCTTTTCGTCGTACATCTATTCTCGCGTGGTTTTTTTTAATTAATTTTTCATTAACTATTTTAAAAATCATACGAAACGGTAAAGAACTTCTTTATTTAATTTGATCCACTCTGCACACGAAAGGTAAATATGATTATTATCAGATCTGTATGTATATAAATACATCTATTTATCTTTTTAAATACTTTTAAGATTTTATATTTTTATTCAAAAATAATAAAAGAATGAGTAAATTTAATATTTAAAATTTTTTTCTCAAATATAATGTTATAGTCCGAAAGACTATAACTTATTATTTCATTGATAATATTAATAGAATATTGACGAACCGCGCAAAACCGCTAACTCAGCGAACCACGCGTAAGGACGTCCACCGGAAACGCGAAAAACGCTAATGAAGGGATTCAACTTTGAACCTCCTTCGCTTGCACTTAGACTTTAGACGCCACGAAATAACCACCTCCGTGACCATACATGGACATGTCGCTAGGCGATCCCCTCCAAAACATCCGCAAAAACGAGGAAATAAAAGCCGTCCACCGCGAGTCCGCGGCGGACAATCGTTAATAACAAATCAATCAATAAATAGTGCGACATCGTGAACTAACCGATATACTGTGCGACGAATCACTCAAGGAAGTCAAACGCTCTAAATCTAAGAACGAAGCGATACAGGAAGGGACGATAATAAGGAAAGAAGACTTATAAAGAGACCGACTAAAAGTAAAACACGAGAATCTATTTGTGTAAGAGATTATACAATTATAGAGAGTATACTATTTTACAATAAAAACGGTGTAGACTAAAACGGCTGAAGGTTTTGGTTACGATACCCGGCTACCCCACACCCCGTGCCGCGTCCGGCACAACAATAATAAAAAAATAAAATTTAAAAAATATCCTCTTAAAGTTGTACAGCTGTTAGAAACTAAATATGCAATAAAATTTTTATCAAAAATATTATTTAATTAATAATTCAATATTTAATGTAAAAAATTAATTTTGACTGCCGTGAATTTCAAAAGGGTGTTTCCACTTTTAAAATTCTATTACTATTTGTAGAAAAATTTACATATTTTTTGAAACTTTACATTTTACAAAATGAATTTGAACAAAAAATTCATCTGGCATTTGAATATATTATTAAAAACCGCAAATTAATAATCGCAATAATCGAACTAGTATGTTTTTTAAACTGCGTTTTTTAAACTGCGTTTAAAAACAATAGCGTATTTTAAATCGTGTATTTTTACTTTGCGCATCCGTTGAACTTTGCGACATTATGCATGTGTAAATTTCATTTTAATTGTAAAATTATTCAGATTATACAATGCACATATTTTCCGGTTAAATTATTATTATTATGAAGCTTATACACTACTCAAAAGAAAATAGGGAACACTTTTTGTATACCGAAAAATGGGCTATTTTCAAACGATTGTAACTCAGCGAAAAATGATCGTACAAAAATTTTAGAAAAAGCGTTTTGAAGCTCAAAGTTTCAACTTTGACGTACAATCGATAGTTTTTAAAGATCTTTTTATGTTTTCACTACTATGCTCTAAAAAAGGACACACCGTTTTTTTCCTCAAAATTACGTATTTTTGACGCTCTGTAGCTAGATAAGAAAAATTCTCTTGATAAATCCAACTCAATTTCCGAAAAGCATGACATTTTCTCTACAGAATGTTTTTTTTAAAACTTTCCTATGATTTATTTTGGATGAGTTACATGACTTTGAAGCTAAACCTATATTTTTCAAAGCAATTGTCGTTACTCTGCGAAAAATCATCATACGACATTTTTAAAAATAGCATTTTCAAGCTTCAGCTTTAACGCGCTATCGATAGTTTTAAAAAATTTCTTCATCTTTTTAGTCCTATGCCCTAAGAAGGAAACACTGTTTTTTCCTTAAAATTACACATTTTCGACATTCTGCAGTTGCTATAAAAAATTTTTTCTTAAAAAATTTAAATCAATCTCCGTAAAAACAACTTTTTTTCTACAAAATTCTTTTTTTAAAAACTTATTTACAATTTTTTTCGGTCGAGTTACATGTCTTTAAAAACAACCTTAAATTTTATTAAAAAATGACGTTTACCGCCGGCATTAGCGTTACCCAATGTGCACCACGTGGAGGTTGCCGGTCGGGTTTTGCACATCGTGTGTGTGTGTGTGTGTGTGTGTGTGTGTGTGTGTGTGTGGGTGTGTGTGTGTGTGTCACACAGCAGAGATAAGGACCCCGCAGTTCGTCACTTCTGCAGTATTTAACGACTCCAAACCCTCTCTGCTGTATGTGTGTGTGTGTGTGTGTGTGTGTGTTTAGTATTGTGTATTGCCTCCTCTCTGCTCAATTACAGCTTGTGATCGTTCTTGCATGTTTATGCATCTCCGAATTAATTCCTGCGGAATTTCGTTCCAAATTTGTTTCAAAATTTCCGTTAAGTCATTGAAATTTTGCGGCTGTTGTTCTCGACGTCTTAATCGTCGTTCCATCTCGTCCTATGTATGCTCGATTGGATTTAAGCCCGGGCTGTTTGCGGGATGGTCCAGCAACGTAATGTTGTGTTCTTGAAGAAAATGGTGAACATAACTCGCCGTTTTCTTCGAGAACACAACATTACGTTGCTGGACCATCCCGCAAACAGCCCAGACTTAAATCCAATCGAGCATACATAGGACGAGATGGAACGACGATTAAGACGTCGAGAACAACAGCCGCAAAATTTCAATGACTTAACGGAAATTTTGAAACAAATTTGGAACGAAATTCCGCAGGAATTAATTCGGAGATGCATAAACATGCAAGAACGATCACAAGCTGCAATTGAGCAGAGAGGAGGCAATACACAATACTAAACACACACACACACACACATACAGCAGAGAGGGTTTGGAGTCGTTAAATACTGCAGAAGTGACGAACTGCGGGGTCCTTATCTCTGCTGTGTGACACACACACCCACACACACACACACACACGCACACGCACACGCACACCCACACACACACACACACACACACACACACACACACACACACACACACACACACACACACACGATGTGCAAAACCCGACCGGCAACCTCCACGTGGTGCACATTGGGTAACGCTAATGCCGGCGGTAAACGTCATTTTTTAATAAAATTTAAGGTTGTTTTTAAAGACATGTAACTCGACCGAAAAAAATTGTAAATAAGTTTTTAAAAAAAGAATTTTGTAGAAAAAAAGTTGTTTTTACGGAGATTGATTTAAATTTTTTAAGAAAAAATTTTTTATAGCAACTGCAGAATGTCGAAAATGTGTAATTTTAAGGAAAAAACAGTGTTTCCTTCTTAGGGCATAGGACTAAAAAGATGAAGAAATTTTTTAAAACTATCGATAGCGCGTTAAAGCTGAAGCTTGAAAATGCTATTTTTAAAAATGTCGTATGATGATTTTTCGCAGAGTAACGACAATTGCTTTGAAAAATATAGGTTTAGCTTCAAAGTCATGTAACTCATCCAAAATAAATCATAGGAAAGTTTTAAAAAAAACATTCTGTAGAGAAAATGTCATGCTTTTCGGAAATTGAGTTGGATTTATCAAGAGAATTTTTCTTATCTAGCTACAGAGCATCAAAAATACGTAATTTTGAGGAAAAAAACGGTGTGTCCTTTTTTAGGGCATAGTAGTGAAAACATAAAAAGATCTTTAAAAACTATTGATTGTACGTCAAAGTTGAAATTTTGAGCTTCAAAACGCTTTTTCTAAAATTTTTGTACGATCATTTTTCGCTGAGTTACAATCGTTTGAAAATAGCCCATTTTTCGGTATACAAAAAGTGTTCCCTATTTTCTTTTGAATAGTGTATAAGCTTCATAATAATAATAATTTAACCGGAAAATATGTGCATTGTATAATCTGAATAATTTTACAATTAAAATGAAATTTACACATGCATAATGTCGCAAAGTTCAACGGATGCGCAAAGTAAAAATACACGATTTAAAATACGCTATTGTTTTTAAACGCAGTTTAAAAAACGCAGTTTAAAAAACATACTAGTTCGATTATTGCGATGTATTAATTTGCGGTTTTTAATAATATATTCAAATGTCAGATGAATTTTTTGTTCAAATTCATTTTGTAAAATGTAAAGTTTCAAAAAATATGTAAATTTATCTACAAATAGTAATAGAATTTTAAAAGTGGAAACACCCTTTTGAAATTCACGGCAGTCAAAATTAATTTTTTACATTAAATATTGAATTATTAATTAAATAATATTTTTGATAAAAATTGTATTGCATATTTAGTTTCTAACAGCTGTACAACTTTAAGAGGATATTTTTTAAATTTTATTTTTTTATTATTGTTGTGCCGGACGCGGCACGGGGTGTGGGGTAGCCGGGTATCGTAACCAAAACTTTCAGCCGTTTTAGTCTACAACGTTTTTATTGTAAAATAGTATACTCTCTATAATTGTATAATCTCTTACACAAATAGATTCTCGTGTTTTACTTTTAGTCGGTCTCTTTATAAGTCTTCTTTCCTTATTATCGTCTCTTCTTGTATCGCTTCGTTCTTAGATTTAGAGCGTTTGACTTCCTTGAGTGATTCGTCGCACAGTATATCGATTAGTTCACGATGTCGCACTATTTATTGATTGATTTGTTATTAACGACTGTCCGCCGCGGACTCGCGGTGGACGGCTTTTATTTTCTCGTTTTTGCGGATGTTTTGGAGGGGATCGCCTAGCGACATGTCCTCTTAAATCATATACTCTTAAATCATTACTATGCATAGTATATAAGATAATATAGAACATATAATGCATATTTACAAATAACTTCCATATAATGTCTTGCATATGTATTAATGTTTTATTAAGAACACATACAATAATGCAGACAGGATTTAATATTAATTGAAATTAGATTAGTAATAATGAATGCTATTCGCATTAGTACATATACTCTTAAATCATTATGACGCATAGCATATAAGATTTCCTAGATAACAAGCATGTTGTACAAGCTTCTTTATAAGCAAACTCTTCCAGCAATATTGAAATTAGATTAGTAATAATGAATGCTATTCGCATTAGTACATATATTCTTAAATCATTACTACGCATAGTATATAAGATTTTCTACATAACAAGCTTGTTGTACAAGCTTCTTTATAAGCAAACTCTTCCAGCAATATTGAAATTATAATTTCTTTTAAAGTTCTAATATGATATTGAAATAATTTCCTATAAAGTTTGCGTAGTAATGATTTAAGAATATATGTACCAATGCGAATAGCATTCATTATTACTAATCTAATTTCAATATTGCTGGAAGAGTTTGCTTATAAAGAAGCTTGTACAACAAGCTTGTTATCTAGGAAATCTTATATATTATACGTAGTAATGATTTAAGAGTATATGTACTAATGCGAATAGCATTCATTATTACTAATCTAATTTCAATTAATTTTAAATCCTCTCTGCATTATTGTATGTGCTCTTAATAAAACATTAATACATATGCAAGATAATATATGGAAGTTATTTGTAAATATGCATTATTCTATATTGTTCTACGTTACCTTATATATTATTGCTGGAAGAGTTTGCTTATAAAGAAGCTTGTACAACAAGCTTGTTATCTAGGAAATATATAGCTATTCATTTATATAAACTTTTCTATAAGGAAACTCTTCCTGTAGTATTTAAATTTGATTAATACGTAATGTTGAATTCTATTTAAGTTAGTACGTATAGTCTTAAATCATTACAATATGTTATTTATAAAAATACATGTATTAAACTTTATCTTACATATACCATAATAATGTACTAATGTGGATAGATTTAAATTTATTAATTTAATTTAAATATTGTAAGAAGAGTTTGTTTATAAAGAAGCTTGTATAAAGAAGTGCCTATACATTTTTTAGAATATTAAGAATATTAATACAAGAATTTTAGAATATTAATACAACTTATATATTTAATATATATATATTTTTTTAAATAGTTTAGTTTATTGATAAACACTAATGAGAATTGTATATAGGTTATATTCAAAAAATATTTTTAAAAAAATATTCAAAATATATTAAATATATTCAGTGAATTTTTATCAATAAAACAAACAATGTATGTTTTATAAATATTTCCTATATATAATTCTTTAGTTTTCAAAGGATCAAGTTATTTTTAAAGTTTTACATATGTAGGATATTTTCGAGTGCATATGCCGACCAACCCGTTCACATATTATCCGCTCACGGCTGCACCGTTTGTGAAACCTGAAGCGTCTCGCGCTGCGTTATGATTTCCGCGTGTGCACCTTTTCGGACGCCCCGCGCGGTTCTTGAAACATCTTGTAACAATTCGCGACGATACACGACAGAAGGACGAGTGTGAACTGCAGCGATGCAGTTCAGACAAAGGGTAGTTCCTAACGATCGTTCGAAGAGTCGAAACATGCTCTCACTGTACTCCAGTTTTGTAATTATACTCTGTATCATATACCGATTCCAATAAATTATACTTGTAGATAACATCCTACATATTTTTGGGGGCTCGTCCAGGATCGGATCAAATCATGGTATAGAGTGTGATATCAGATATACGAAGAAGTGCGTTCAAGTGCAGAGTTCAAGTGCAACGTAAGAAGTTTTAAGACATAAAGTTGTGAAGACGTAAATAACGATGGAATCAGGCACTGGCGCAGCAAACGACGATTTGAGTACAACGTTGATGAGCATGACGACGATCCAACTAAAACAGGAACTCAAGAAACGAAAACTAAAGACGGCTGGACTGAAAAGCGAGCTTATCGCAAGACTGTTGCCGTTTATGCAACTCGAACGCGAACACGGTGAAACAGAGCATGACGACGATAATCCAGGTAAAGACGACGACGAAGACACACGCAGACAAGAACACGACGGCGGAAATAATACTAGTGACTCAAGTGATGAAGATGAGGCACCAATCGAAAGAAGATTTAAGAAAGAAACCCGAAGAAACCAATTATTGACGTTCAGAGATGTTGAAGAATCCCTGGAAACATTCAGCGGAGATGACAGAACCAACGTGAAAAGATGGATCAAAGATTTTAAAGAAATGGCGGTATTGTGCGAGTGGTCCGACATCCAGAAGGTAGCATACGCGAAGCGCCTTCTTCGCGGTTCAGCGAAGCTATTCGTAAATTATGAAAAGTGTACGAAGACGTGGAAAAAATTACGGCGAGCATTAATAGAAGAATTTGCCAACATTGTAAATGGTCACGCAGTGCATCAGGAGTTATCACGACGAAAGAAGACATCCGACGAGTCATACCAAGCGTACATATACAAAATGCTCGAGATCGCAGCACAAGCTGATGTGGATACGCAATCGGTAATCCAATACATTATCGAGGGTATCCAAGACGACGCAGTTAATAAGACAGTATTACATGGAGCAAAAACGATACGCGAATTGAAGGAAAGATTCACTCGATACGAAGCTATAAAAATGGAGGGAAAATCAAAGATGAGGCAGTCGAAACTGGAGGAGAAGAAGAAGATGATCCGAGGCGACGCGGGTCCGATGGAGGCGAAGAGATGTTTCAACTGCGACAGTAAGGACCATCTGGGTAAAGCGTGCCCGACGAAAGACAGAGGTGTCAAGTGTTTCAAGTGCAATCAATATGGACACATCGCTAAATTGTGTAAAGTAGCCGTAAGTACACAGAAGGAAACCGCATGTATAGCCATTAAGGATCCGCAGCAGAAACAGATCAAAGAAATAAGAATTTCAAATCAATGTTTCGTTGTTCAGCGTTATAGACACCGCTAGCGATTTAAGTTTGATTAATCGAGATTGTTACAAGAAGTTAGGTTGTCCCGAATTAAATAATGGCATAAATTTTAACGGCTTAGGCGCGATAAATAATAGCACGCGCGATTCCTTCACAACAAATATTGTTATTGATGGCGAGACATTTGAAATTACGTTTCATATTGTCGATAATGAAATAATGAGATATACGGTCTTGATCGGTGCTGACTTTTTGAATTTGGTTGACTTACGTTCGTTAAAGGGCAAAGTAATAATTCGAAAAGCTATCGAAGATAATTTAGATGTGCCCGAGGTATTGAAGATCGACGTAATCGAAAAAGTAGACCCGTTTGATTTTTCACGTATTCTCGACGAAAACGCTCGACGAGAAGTAGAGATTATCGCCAAGAATTATAATCCGAGAAAAACACGTGAAGTCGATACTAAAATGGTACTAGTTTTAAAAGATGAAATCCCGATTTATCAAAGACCGCGCAGACTATCTCAGCCGGAAAAACGAGAAGTCGATAAGCAATTAAAAGAATGGTTAGATGACGGTATAATAAGACCCTCTAATTCCGATTACGCAAGTCCTGTCGTTCTAGTTAAAAAGAAAAACGGCCAGAATCTGTGTAGATTTTAGGAAGCTAAACCAGAAAATAATAAAAGATCGCTATCCGTTGCCACTAATTGAAGATCAATTAGATCGTTTACAAGGCGCGAAAATTTTCAGCACGCTCGATCTGAAAAACGGTTTTTTCCATGTCGAAGTAGCTGAAGAAAGTAGGAAGTACACTTCTTTCGTTGTTCCAACAGGCCAGTACGAATTTATGCAGATGCCTTTCGGACTTTGTAATTCTCCCGCGGTATTCCAAAAATTTATAAACGCTGTATTTAAAGATCTGATTTTTAAGGGAACAGTATTAACTTATATGGACGATTTGATTATTCCTTCGCAAAGTCGAACAAGCAATTGACGATCTAAAGCACGTGATAAAGGTAGCAAGTCAAGCCGGTTTGCATATCAACTGGCGAAAGTGTCAATTTATCCAAACGAAAATTGAATATTTAGGACATGTTGTGATTAACGGAACCGTAGCACCGTCGGAATGTAAAACTAACGCCGTTATGAGATTTCCGACTCCTAAATGTGTCAGGGATGTACAAAGTTTTGTCGGCCTTACGAGTTATTTCCGAAAATTTATTTCCCGATATTCCATGATAGCACGACCGTTGAAATGATGTAGATTTTCGATACGGAAAAGACGAAGAGCAGGCATTTCTAAGTTTAAAATTCGCGCTGAGCAATAAGCCCGTTTTAAAATTATATAAAGTCGGAACTGAAACGGAGTTACATACAGACGCTTCAAAATTCGGTTACGGTGCAATTTTATTGCAGAAGGATGATTCGGATAACACTATGCATCCAGTTTATTACGCAAGCGGCAAAACCACCTCAGCCGAAGAGAAATATACTAGCTATGAGCTCGAAGTACTTGCAGTCGTTAAAGCGTTGAAAAAATTCCAAGTATATCTATTAGGTATTTGCTTCAAAATCATTACTGACTGTAAGGCGTTTACTCTAACAATGAATAAAAAAGATTTATGCGTTCGTGTAGCTCGGTGGGCTCTAGCCTTAGAAGAATATGATTACGAAATTCAACATAGACCAGGTACACTGTAAAAAAAGTCGGTAAATTTACACAAATAATAGACGTAAAAATTACATAAATAATGCAGTAAATACACAAAATCATGTAATTTTAAAAAAGTTATATTATTTTACAGAAATTTTGTAATTTTACAAAAATTATGTAGATTTGTCTATTATTGTGTAAATATATCTTATTTTATATGGAAAATTACATAAATAATATAATATTTCAAATATTTTATGTAATTATCCTAATTTTTGTAATATTACCAAAATATAATGGTAATATCTCGCTGCAGAATATGCGCGATGTGATGGCATTAATGGATTTGTTCTTTTTAGCTGAACTGGCTGTACTAGCTCAGAGTTTATCTTTTCTTCTCCATATAGAAAGGAGAAAGACAAACTCTGAACTAGTGCAGTCAGTTCAGCTAAAAAGAACAGACCTTATATCTCGAGATAGGCGCGCAGCAGCTACTCGTAGTTGATTGTTAGCGATCGCGTAAGCAGCGCTGTCGCATGCGTGTTATAAGTCTGACGTACTAGTAATGAATTGGCTAAACCGTCGAAATGACGATCGGAAAGCTGCCAGTTCGTGTTCGTGCGTGATTGCATATTGCATCAGCCATTAGCCATTGTACTTTCTAGCCCTAAGCATTGTCCGATTGTCCGGATCCCGAAGTGCGTGAATTTTTATATATTTCTGCTGTGAGAGAGAGAACATCCGTATAACATTCATCGAGATTATCGTCTTTGTTCAATTTGCCTAAATCGTTATTGTTTGTTCAATCACGCAATCTTTTGGTCTCACAAGATAGGTAAGTAAAATATTTTAATAATTAGTTTCGAAACATATACATTATAAAGAATAGCTGTTCATTGTAATTTCGTTCAATCTTTATAATATCATTATTTTTTATATTGTAATGTTCAAACAAAAAATTTTTTGCATATATATTTGTAAATTAATAGAATCTTTCATGCTTTTTAAATAAAATTTTATCGTTTTTACATAAATTCAACTTACAATCGTAAAAATTATTTGAAAAATCACAGTTTTACATACATATAATTTTGTATTTTTAATTTTATAAATATTAATTTTTAAATTTGTTAAAATCTAAGTTTGTGCTATGTAATCTGACATATTTTTAACTTAAAATTTGCAGTGATATATAATAAAAGAAAGAGGATTCTTCTAATGACCTTGAGCAGATCATCTCTAACTATTAACTTCGTTCTGTTTATTTCCTCATACAACGTTTTCTAAAGCAACATTCCAAACAGTTGAGTGAGTCTACAAAAAAAATTTACCAAGGACAAGGTAAGATCATAATATGATATGTTTTATTAATTGATTTCAAAACATGTGCAACATACAAATGTTATAATTGTCATTGTAATATCATTCACTTGTGACTTGTGACATTCAGTTTTATTTTCCTTTTTTCAATAATTCTTCATATGAAATATGTTGCAGTTACTACTTTGAAAGGAAATATCCTTATATGAATCCTATCTCAGTCCAGTTTTATTTCTCCTTTCACACAAACTCCTTCCTACACAATTATAAATTTCTTTATTTATTTATTTGAAGATTAAATATTGAACAATGTTCAAATGTGTAATGTGCAACAGTACATTTTCATCCATTCTTTTGTATAACAAGCATCAAATTTTTCATAAAAACATGCCTTATTTAAAAATTATTTGTCTGTTCAAAAACTGTGGGCAACATTTTAATAAATATGTTAATTTTAAAAAACATATTCTTAGATGCCACACCAAAAATTATAAAGAAAGAACATGTGTTACTTATTGTTGCAAAGAAAAAAACTGTAACAATTATTTTACAAATACAGTAGATTTTCATAAACATTTATATAATCATATTAGGCAAAGTAAAATTGGGATTTGTTGTGGATATCGATCTTGTCTTCTAAATAACACAATTTTCAAGACAGTCAATAATTATGCAGTGCACATATGTAGACATCATTCATATAATAATAATGAAAACAATTTTGATAAGCAGTTTATTGTTAATAACGAAGAATTTAATTTTGATGTGAGTAACAATTTCAATCTTGTTTCTCAAGAGATAACTTCAAATCAAGTTTTTGATGATATAGAAAATACTAAAAAAGCTATTTCACAATTATATTTAAATTTGACTGCAAAATATTTTCTAACAGAATTTGCTCTACAAGCTGTAATAGATGGTATGTCATCTATACCGAAACTTATTCATGAACACTTTATTAAGTCTTTAAATGAAAGTGATATTCAAGATGATATAAAAGATAAAATTAAAGATATGTTTCAACACAGTTATTCTTTTTTTGAAAATATTCATAATTCCATTAATGGTAGTCTTCGAAATACGTATTCAAGAAATATATATTTTCAACAAAATTTTCACATTGTGATGCCTGTACAAATTAATTTAGGAATTGATAACAATCACAAACAACGTTTTTATTATTATATTCCAATTATCAAAACTATTAAGGTTTTATTACAAAATTCTGATATTCAACACTTTTGTTTAAATTTATTTCAGATTTATAATAGTAATGCGCTCTTTGATATTAAAGATGGTAGTGTAATAAAAAACAATAATTTCTTTCGTAATAATAAATATACATTACAAATTTTATTGTATCAAGATGCATTTGAAATATGTAATCCTTTGGGTTCAGCCAAAAAAAAATTTAAACTTGTTGGCGTATATATGGTGCTAGGAAATTTACCCCCTTATCTCAGATCAAAAGTTGATAATATACAGCTTGTTATGTTATGCTATGAAAAACATGTAACATTTTTTGGTTGGGAAAAAATAATGGAATATCTTATAAATGATTTAAAATGTTTAGAAAATGGAGGAATAGATATTAATGTTGATAATAAAACAATAAATTTTGTTGGCACTGTTGTTGCTATGTTGGGAGATAATTTAGGAAGCCATCAAATTGGTGGTATTACCGAAAATTTTAATTCTGAATATTTTTGTCGTTTTTGTGATATAACTCAAAATGAATTCCAATCAAAGTATGCATGTACTAATATAAACAGAAATTCAGATAATTACAATTTGTGTGTCACACAAGCAAAAAATATCATGAAAGCTGTAAAAGGAATAAAAAATGATTCGCCTCTGAATAAACTTAATTATTTTCACATTTGTAATCCAGGATTACCACCCTGCATAGCACATGATCTTTTTGAAGGAATCGTTTCATATGATCTTATATATTGTATAAAATATTTTGTGAAAGAAGGTTGGTTTCCTTATCAATTTCTAAATTATAGATTGCAAAAAATGAAGTTTTTGTACGAAAATGTACGTAATTGTATTCCTCTTATAAGAGATTCAACTAAAATTGCAGGCACTGCAAGTCAAATCAGAAAAATATTATTAATATTTCCCTTAGCAATCTTTGATGTAGTTAAGAATATTAAGGATGATGTTTGGATATTAATGTTATATCTTCGAGAAATATGTTCTTTAATTTGTGCTCCTGCTTTGTCCTTTGGTCAGATTGCGTTATTACAAGAAAAGATAAATGATTACTTATCATTGAGAGTAAAATGTTTTCCAAGTATCAAATTAAGGCCGAAGCATCATTATATTTCTCATTATCCCATTTTAACTACATGTTTTGGTCCATTGAAACACTTATGGACCTTGAGGTTTGAAAGCAAACATAGGTATTTTAAAAACATTGTTAAACATTCCCAAAATTTTAAGAACGTAATTAAATTATTATCACACAAACATCAATTTTTGCAAAATCAATATTTCAATAATAATTATCGTACTTTAGTAATAGCAGATGATGCACAAGAATATATTTCTCAAAACTTTAATGATCAAATTTCTTTCATTATAACAGATTATTTTCATAAAAGAGAAAATGAAAATATAAAGTACATATCCTCACAAGTTACTTTTAAAGGTATAACATATAAAAAAAATATGTGTATCTGTGTAGGTAAAGATTGTTTTGATTCTTTCACTCTATGTAAAATTAAATACATTTTGATAAATAACTGCTATACAAACATTTATTTTTTAGGTACCATAACAAAAATTACATATAATCCTGATTTTGGCATATATGAACAGTTCGAATTGAAAGGTCTAGATTGCCAATGTAGAGAAAATGTTGTTGTTCCCATACACTTCCTTACTTGCACCACATCCTATCCTGGAAACTAATTTAAATTCTATTCCTGTATATGTCTTCAAGTATGCACCTCTTGATTCATAAATTTGGATCTTCAAATGATGTAAGCAATTTATACTTCAACGTAAATTGTTACATTATGCATGTATATATATGTTTCTTTATTTTAGATGTCGTATCTCTATAAAGTCTGGTCTGCCGATAGAAAAAATAAAATATCACTTATACTTCGTGAATCAGATGATATGCTAACAGATCTTATTACAAAAAGTAATATTAAACTTGGAATTGTTGGTTTCTGTTCTTGTCATAGAGAAAGATGGCACAATAATTGATGACAATGAGGTTCTAAAATTTTGTTCCGGTGAAATTTTAATGTTACTACGACCAGAAGAATCCTGGTCTGTACAAAATGAAACTGCAGTTATGTCTTCTGATACTGCTTCACTCACATCTAGTTTAAATGAGGAAACTTTTTTCGCCATCAAATTCGCTATCTATTTCATCTCCAATAAATGAAATATCAAATAATAAACAAGTAGAACTTGAATTTTGGATAAATTTTCAAATACCATGGAATAATTTAGAACCAACAGTGCTTAAAGAACTGCAAAATGGAAGTCGCAGCAAATATGTAATAAATGCAGTTGTGAACCGTACCGTTTCTGAAATGAGAAACGTTCAAGAATTTATACCATCCAAAGCGTTTAAAATAATAGCTGAAAAAATTGTTAATAAATACCCACAAACTTTTAAAGATATAAATGAAGATGGTACATGTTTTGGCGATGGATTCATACCACATATTTAAAACTTCGAGACCGAAAATTGTTACTTAAATAGG